GACAATGTAAGTTCAGGAAAGGGCAACACAGAATATAAATAAGAAAAAGGAATTTTTCATGCACAATCCAGCATTTTTAGAAGGTTGACACATTAGAGAATTTGCAATGAGCAATTCTACATGCTAAAGCTATTTTTGACAAAGAAAGCGGTCATTTCCACCCCCAGGATCCCTGCACTCAAGGATTAGGCCTTAGCATTTTGCTTCCCTGTTTGCTGTGGATTTGGATGAATTGCTCCCAAAGAATGGTTCATTTAAAATATTCCATAGTTCTTTTTATTCAGTTCATGCTCTTTCCTCTCCAGCATGTATAATTGCCTAAATGGACTAGTAATCGTTCCTCTTATTTTAACTGTTGAAAATGGTGTCACCATTTACCTTTTGTATATCTGATTTAAACATGTCTGCATGAGTTTTTGGTGTGCCTCATATTTGTTTTCATTTTTACAAGGTTTACAATTGCATTCATTGAGTTCTGTATTATGGCCTGCTGAAAGGGAGAGTCCACTATAAAGCAGCTTACACAAAATATTCCTAGTTTATACCCCAGGGAGGATTTGTTAGGAAAGGTGATCTGAAAAGACCAAATGAAATTTTGGTATTGATTTCTCCAAGAAAACTGCTGATAGAAGAAGGGAAAAAAGTATGAGCAATGAGATACCTGTCTGCACAATTGTCATAAAGTAAACATATTTCAAATTTATCATTTTACTCATTTGTAAAAACAAAAAAAAAATCCTTGTTATATGAAGCTTAGAATGACAGCATTTGATAGATGAGAAGGAATTTGAGGAGTTTGGAGTAATTCCTTCCATGCTCTGTTTAGTGAAGAACACATCTAAACCTTCCCCTAGACAACTGAGAATTAATTTTGCTTTTAAAGACAATGTAGTATGGTGGAAAAGATTACTGGGCTCGGAATCAGGAGGCATTTGTCTAGATTTCAGCTTACTAGCTATGTGACCATGGGCAAGTCATTTAACATATCTGAGGCTTACTTTTCTCATCTGTAAAATCAAGGATATTTTGTCAAGAAAACCCTTTTTTTACATTTTAGAATATGTCAGTAAAAGATATCCCATATATTAAACCAAAAGGCTAGGAAAGAAGACATATAGACAAACATGCCTCTCTAAGCAGAATGGACTTCTGAATAAGATCCATTTTTCCCATGGGTACTTGTGGTGTTCAGAAAAACTGTACAGACATGCTGGTTGACAGCTCAGTGGTAAATCATTGGCTTTAGGAGCAGTTTGTTGGGTTTCAGAAAAAGAGTGAAATTTTCTAATCTGGTAGTCTGTCACTGATTTCACAGGTTTGAGGGCAAATTGTTTTTCTTTTGGTCAACCTTACAAAAAAACAGGGGAAAGAAAAGGAAACAATAGGGATTAGATATGATTTCTCATTTATACTGGAAAGTGAGCCTTATTTTAAAATGGAATTAATCACAGAAAGAAGGGGAAAATACAGTAACTCTCTGCCACCACAGGAATTTGGACCAGTGACCTCCAAGGGCCCTTCCAGCTCTCTAAAATACTTTGATTCTATGCTTGTTAATTGATTGATTGACTAATTACAATAGAAGTCTGAGATTTTTCATTCAGAATTTACTGAAGGGGGAAAAATACGCACTCTATTTTCTGTAAGAAACCTTTATGTGCTTGAATAGCATTATTAAAATTCCCCTTATCTCCTCTGTATGGGATCATCCCAATTCCATTCATCTGGATTCATAAGCTTTATTTTCCTATCTTCTGGCCTTTCCAAGTTACTGACCTTCTTTTTAAAAGATAGATCCCAAAAAGAATACTTCCACTAGCAATCAGGAGAGGAAAATCATCTGAGAAGTGATCTCAGTGTATGTGTAAAATTGTTTAGCTGAGATTTTCATCCTGGCCCTAAGGTTATTTTCCCCAAAGGGAATCTAGGATGTGCAGGCTATCTGGAGATATGAATGAGAAACCAAGTGATTTCATTTAACTTATATCTAGAACACATGAATTTAATTTTATTTTATAATGTAGTAACATACAGAGTGTTTTAAATGTCATGACTATTGTTTTCATCTCTCTCCACCCTAGAGACATAATGATGATGTATCAGTAGATGTAGACAGAGACATATCAGTATGATGCTTGGGGTTTTTGTTTGTTTTTTAAACTGCATTGTTACTTTGCAGACTTTGCCCACTGAAACCTCAAGATCTTTATGGACCATATTTGCACAGAACTCTATCCCCTTTCTGGATGGATGCAATTTGTTTTCCTTCTCCAGCTGTACTGCCCACACTTGTCATTTTGGAATTTGGTTTGGTTTGTTTCCGATCACTTTTTGGATTTATTAAGGTCATTTGGAATTCTAATTCTGTCTTTCAGGATGCTGGTTGTCCATGCCAGCATGGTATCATCGGTAGCAAACTTAATGAGCATACTCACTACTCTATTATCTAGGTCACTGATGAAAATGCTGATCCTGGGATGATGACGCTACAAAGCAATACTTGTTAACTCTCTACTTTGTCTTCCAATATCTCTTCCTGTTTATGATCTCTCCTCTGATGTCCTTTATACCTACTACACTGCTCCCAAATGCTTATGGCTCATTATCAGACACTTCCCAGGTTGTGTGAACTTCTGTCCAATTTTGATATCAAACATGGCCTGTAGGTGATGGTTCCAGTTTGTTGATTTGGCAATAATATTGGCCAGATGGAGTCTATATGCAATCTTTCACTTTCAATTAATCTATCATGTCTTTCACACACTCATAGGGAATTCTGCTATTCTGACTGACCAGTTCTTTATGAAACCACATTTATGTTTTTCTTTAGAGAACTCAGAGTACCTTGCAGATATCTAGTTAACTATTCTCGGCTTCTTTGTCATGAATTGTTAACAATTTGGAAAAGCACCTACATGAAAAATCAATCATCACATTTATGTCAGGAGTTTATGATTGAACCAGGAAAGTTGACTATGTCTTCTTCTCAGTCATGTGCCATTCTCCCTACTGAAGAGCAGAAAAGTAAGTTGCTTCTCTTCAGGTTTGAGTTTCAGAGACTGGGTAATAAAGAAAAGATGTTTTGATAGTCAATTATATGTCACAGGTCAAGTCTGTCCTCTAATACATACTGGCTATGTGACAAGTCACAGTGCCCCAGGCAACTCCAATGGCCCCACCCTGAAACTTTCCCACTGAGATCCCAAAAGAGCTATTCTTCCCAACTGTGCATCCTAAAACTCCTTGGCCTTGTCACCACCCTTTAAAGATTATTGGGCCTTTTTCATCCATCCACCAGCTGAGCTTTCCTTTGTGTGACATGTTGGCTCCCACAACTAGAATGACAATCCCTTGAAGACAGGAACTATCTCACTTTACTCTTTTTATGTCTAGCATTTAGCACAGTGCTTGGTACAGAATAACATGCCACTTAATAAACACTTTTCCATTCCATTAAAGTTGAAGAGCAGGTGCTGATCTGCATTGGTAGAAGGAATTTCCTCACTGGGAGTTCCCTATGCCAATGAAATCAAAGGTCTGATCTAATATCCATATGTTTATTGTGACCATGAGCTACTCATTTAACATATCAGTGTACCAGACAATCTTCTAAACCTAAATTGCTAATTTATATTGATGGAGGGAGTTTTTATACAGGTAGTTCTCCGAACCAAGGAAATCATGGATCTAGAGCTCCCATTCCCCCCTTTACCCAACTTAATTTTCTTTTAGTTCAAAAAGAATACATTGAAATTTTTCATAATATCTTTAATATGTTAAATGTTTTTGTTTTTCTATCTTTCCCTTCAAGTGACCTAAGTGTACATAGAAGTCATTATTCTTCTCATTCTATTTTAATGAAATACTTATTCTTTACAATTTGCAAAGATATGATATGAAAACTATTTAAAGAACCAACATTTATTTTATTCTCTCCAGAATTCCACTATTCACAGTTACAAAAAAAAAAAACTCTTTGCCAATAGTGAATGTAAATTTCTGATGTTCAGATTAAATATGAATGATATCCCTCCCATCTTTGTACTTTGTAAAGACAAGTTTAATGGTTTTTCCCTTGCCATTTTAGTGGCTAAAAGCATTTTCCTGTTGATAAAATAAGCATTTAATTCAAAGAGCAAAAATAATTCAAGAATCATTGGAGGGAACAACACATCATAAGTGAGCCTTTACAACAGATGACAACAACTAGTGCTTTACACATGAGGGGAAAAAAAAAACAGTCCAAACCCTTTATATGTGATGCTAGGGAAAAGGAAAGAGCTAATACTAGGATTCTATTAATGTCATAGCCAAACATATTCTATCAATATTCTAAAAAGCATGATCTGGTTTGTGACATATTTGAGTCTGCGGGAAAATAATTTTAATAATTAGAAGAAAACTATAAAGACTATAAATCTCACATGAGATTTAAACAAGTAAAGCTTTGCAAACAAAAAAATCTGACTCTGAATTATGCATCAAAAAAAAGTGTGGAGTCGTTTTTTGGGGGTTTTTTTTGTGTTTTTTTTTTGTCGGTTAGCAAGCATCATTTCACTCCAAGTATTTCCACCTCACTCTCCACCATCTGCCTCACAGGGAGCAATTAATCTTAAAATCCAACATAGAGCAACATTAAAATTCTATTAATACTGAAAACCAGTATGACAGGCTGCCTGGCAGTACCATTTTCATTCCTCCAGATTTCAGTGTTAATTTTGAATGGGAGAGGTATAGAATGCTAGTCTATTTTACCAGCAAAAATAAATTGAGTTAATAAGATATATCACTGACACTAAAATTCCATAGGACCCAATTCCATGCCTGGTGTCTCAAACACTTAATGATGTATGAGTTATAGAAGAGGATAAACAAGTTAAAAATATGACCCCTTTTATATTATGCTAAGTACTTGCTCATGTCTGAGCATTAAAAGAAGTTCCAAATTCAAGGCCAATGTTTCCATGACTCTGACTCTGAATTTTCTTTTGCATTTACAGAACCACATCACAGCCTTCGCAGAAGTCACATGATGTTGAACTGGATGCTTTTTCACTGCATTGGACATCTTCCCTTTTCACAGTCCACTCATGAGTCCCAAAGTTTTTTGATAGCAGGATCAGTTTATAAAAATGTCTGGTCGCTGATCATTCATACAATATTGAAGTCTATGTCAACTTTATTTTTTAAAAAAATGCTCCTTAAATATTCTAATTTCATGTTACAGTCCCACAAAACCATCTCAAGTATGAAAAGCAAACTATGTGCTCACCAGATTTGTATGAGAATACCCACTACACAGGTCTAGTTAAGCTTTTCAATGATTCATCTATCTATTCAGCAGTACGCCATATTTAGTTCAAAACAGGCTTTCAGAGTCAAAAAGTTTAGGGAGTTTTGTGTCTTTTTTTCTTGCCTTCAGTGCAGTCATTTTCATTGAAACATATTTCTGTGTGTAAAGCTTCTTTTTTTAAAATATGTATTGAAATAACATTTGCACATTGTACTATAGTATACTTCACTTAAAATACCATTCCTCCTGAACATTCTCAGACTGGTGCTCCTGCTTTTGAAGGGAAAATGCCCATTTTTACTGTAATGAGTAATGTATCACAATTAAAAATATATTTATTTGGATTTTTCCTGATAATTGTGGTTGAAATGTTGAACTGTAGGGATTTTTTTTTGAATGCAGATTGTATGTAGGATAGTTGAAATAAGAGTATAGAACAGTGATGACTTTTATTGGCCAATACTGTGCTGGTAGCAGTATCTCAATAGGTTAAAGGCTCCATCCTGGACACTGGACTCTCAAAATTTCTGTGCAATTTAAATGGGAAAGAGGTACACAATTATACATCATATAAGTTACATGAAAACCACAAAAGTGGTTAGCATATCATTGTGGCATATACCTTGTTTTTTGAGCAAGAGGGTGGTGAGACTGAAAAAGAAGGTGTTGATTATCAGGCTGGGAAAGATTCCATTCTGTTCAGCTAAAAGGCATTTATTAAGCACTTCCTATATTCAGGGCACTATGTTTAGTGCTGGAGAGGCAAAGAAAAGTAGCACAATCCCTACCCTAAAAGAACTTACATGCTACTGTGGGATGTGTCATGTATATAGAGAAGTAAAAATAGAATAATTTGAGAAGGAAGAAAGCACTGGCAAGTGGGGTATCAGGAAAGATTTCATGGAGTTTGTAGCACCTGAGCTACATCTGGAAGGTAGCTTTGTTGACTGAAGATGAACTAGCTTGTAAGAAAATTCACTTTTCATTTGTTTCTCTAGCAAAGACTTTGAAATCTGGCGTTGTATTCGCTCTTGAGATTTCTTTGACCTAGATGACTAGCAAGAATTTATTGCAATCCAGCTCTTTGATCTTGACAATGTGATAAGGATAGACATGATTCCCTCTGAAATTTCTCCAACTAGATACAAAGACTTGTCTTCAATGAGAGACAAAGTCTATGACTTTTGCTGGAAGTGAAGTTTCGTTATGTCTGAGCAATGGAGTATCTCTATCTTTGTCTAAGAATTCAACAACAGTATTATATTTTGATAACATAATTGTGTATTCTTGTGTTAGAACTTGAAATATATCATCCAAGAGCAACAGTAACCCATTTTCCAAAACTACTATAATCTCTTCCAGTTGTGAGGTGTTTAAAACTGCAAGGTGCAAAATAGGTGAACTTGGCTGAATACCATCCTCTCTGGACCTCGTTTTCCTCATCCATAAAATGAGGGGGTTGGACTAGATGATTTCTAGAGTTCCTTCCATCTCTAAATCCATGATGGGATTAACTCATTTGACCCTCCCAATAGCCTATGAATTAAATAGGATAGATATTAATACCTCCATTTTACAGATAAGGACACTGAGGCTCATAAAATCTTAAAGTGACTTCTAATAGGGTATCCAATGAGTAAATAGTGCATTTGGGATTACAGTCTAAGTCTTTTCCCAGCACTCTTGGGGAAGGAAGGGAAACAAAGGAAAATCAGAATAATTTTTTAGCCACAATAAATATCAGTAAAATTAACCAAGTCAGGTCATTTCTATTATGGCAATCACTTTCCAAGGACCAAACCTTTTGTATATCTATTTCCAATTGACAATAATGCTTTAGCATTGTGTGAGAAGGGTCAACACTATCCATTAAATAAAGACTACATGCAGTAGTCAGAGTATTGGGCTTCAAGTCAGGAAAACCTGGATCTGAATCCCATGTCTAATATTTAACTAGCAGTATAACACTAGGCAAGTCATTTAATTTCTATGTGCAATTTTCTAGGACTCAGGGGGGAAGAGTGTTGCATCTGAGTCAGAGAACTTGATTCAAATTCCAGTTCTGCCATTTTATAACCCATGTGACCATGGGCAAGTAGCTCTTTCTGAGGCCTCAGTTTTTTCATCTGTAAAAGGTCATAGTTGACTTTTAGATGACCCCCAAGATTCCTTCTAACTCTGAATCTACAATCCTTTGATCTACTAAGTCATAGATTACATTCTGCATCTTATGAAATCACTGATCTTTCACATTATCATGCAAAGACACATTGAATCTTGTCTTAATTTTGAAATTTCAAGCATGTTCAAAAGCACAATTCTGTTAAAAAACCTGACCTAGTTAAACCTGAGTAAAGTAAAGTCAGATACAGTATTCAAAGATAAAAAATCCTTGGGTTAACTTTTTACAATATAGGACTCATTGATCCCACCACATACAAAACCATATATAACATATATATATGCTCATATATACACATATATACATGTATATATGCATATATGAAATATATGTTACTAAATGCCAGGAGAGAGCCCTTAACCTTGATATTGTTACTTGGAATAATTGGGGGGGATTAAAATATGAATATGTAAAAATGTATATATACTATAGAGAGAATAAGCAAATACACATCTTTCTGATGAAGACATGTCTCCTTTTTATTCTAGGTACTTAGGGGCCCAGGTCACTATCAATTGGTCTACCTAAAATTTTCAGTGATATCTGTTTGCATGGCAGGAAAGCTACACATGTTTATTCTGATTTCTAAGATGACTTAAAAGGCTCTTTTATGTTAAAAGAGAGGTGAACCTTCTTCAACAGACTGTGTCTATTCAAATTCTAACTGGGCCTCTCTCTTCTCAGGATGTACCCCAGCCAAATATTTCGGGTTATTTACCATACAATTTTCTTTGTGAACCAGCAGTGGGATAGAGGGTAGGGTGGGAGGTGGGCGGGCTAGGGGTGGGTCTGGGAGGGTGGGTTAAAAAAAGAATAAGGAGGATGCTCTGCTGTGTACTGTATTTTTCAAATAAAATTTTTAAAATGAATAAAAAATAAAGTTCAATTTTTTTTCATGTATCTGTATAGTTCTTTATTTGAGGGAGGGAATGGGTTGGACTGGGGTGCCCTGAAGGGGATGTTAATGTTCCCATAAATGAAATTTTTCACTGAATGATTCAGTAGCTGTTTGGAAATTCATGTTAGTGGGTAAGGGAAGCAGGAATTCCTCCCATTACCAAGGCCCAAGTGTGTGTCATTGTGGAACCATATCCCACCTAGGATTCTTGAACCCAGAGTCCCAAGGGAAGAGGGGTGGAATATGGAATGGATATAGGATGCTTAACAATAAATAACCTACCTCATCCTGCTGAGCAGATCACCTAGAGATGTACATTCCTCATTTTATGCCCCTAGAGCACCATTTGTTAAATTAGGTATTCCACACCAAAGCAAAGGTAACCTGATTACATAACTAATTGCCTAATTTACACAATTCTCTGTACAGTCTAGTACATTGCCAAGTATATGTGCTTTAAAGTAATTTACTGAGTTGTACGTTATTGATGATAATGTTGTTATTTTGAAAGGGAAAAAATGGAAGGGAAAAAAACAAAAAACATGATTTGAATTCTTTTTTCCCTAGTCACTACACTTAGCTCCAGAATTGTTCCTCAGTTGGGTTACTGCTGGGGAAAAGGTCATAAGTTCCATGTCACATGTGAGCTTTGTCCTATACTGTGACCATAGACTGAACTCCAAATTCTGGCCAGCCATATCACAAATGCCTGGACTTTGGCACAACAAAGGGACCAGCAGAGACAGTACAGATGACTCAACACACACTCACTGTCTTACTTTGATACCTGGATAGCAAACACTTCTATAGGGCCTTCATGTCTACTAAGCATTTCACAAATAGGTTCTTATTACTTCCTGAGAACAACCTGGAGAGGTGGGTACTATTATTATAATCTCTACTTTTCAGATGAGAAAACTAAACCTAAAAGGTTGTACTTTGCCTAGATTCATTGCTAGTAAGAAATTGAAGGGTCAGAGCCAAGATGGTGGAGGAAAAGCAGTGACTGTCTTGAGCTCTCTCCCAAAGCCCTCCAAATACCTAAAAAAACGGCTCTAAACAAATTCTAAAGCAGCAGAACCCACAAAAAGACAGAGTGAAACAAATTTCCAGCCAAAGACAGCCTGGATGGTTGATTGGAAAGGTGTATCGTGCCAGGCGGGTAAAAGAGCGCAGTTTGGCATGGGCACGCAGGCCGTAGCGACCCTGGAGCAGGCCTCAGAGGACTGAATCGCAGGCAGCTGTGGCAGTTTCCAGACTTCTCAACCCCTGAACGCCAAAGACAATTTAGGTCAGTGGGAAAAGTCTGAGGTGAGAGAGAAGCTAAGTCTCAGCCACAAGTCCCAAGCACAGCCTCTGGGGCAGCGGCTGCCTCCTGAGCTTCAGGCCCACAGACTGAGGGGAAATAGAGTGGCTGGTCAGATGGGGATTGCAGGGATCTCTTTGCCAGTGCTGAGGCAGGAATCTCTTGCTTTACCAGTGCTTGGATCTGGGTCACAGTTCTGAGGGGTGGTCCTGGGACAAGGAGGAATGCTGGTGTGGTGGAGCTTGTTGTGGTGGTAGGGAGAAAACACCTCGCCCCTTATCATAGCACCTTAGAAAAACCGAAAATTTACAGGTCCCTAGAAGTACCTCTGAAAGCAGCTGTATAAACCCCAAAGCTTGGGACAGCACACTCTTAACATTGGAAGCAGACTTTTACCTTAACAAAGAGTTTAAAACTCAAGTAATTGGCCGGGATCATGAGTAAGCAGCGCAAAAAGAGTCAGACTATATTATCTTACTTTGGTGACAAAGAAGATCAAAACCTACAACCAGAAGAAGACAACAAAGTCAAAGCTCCTACATCCAAACCCTCCAAGAAAAATATGAATCAGTCCCAGGCCTTGGAAGAGCTCAAAAGGGATTTTGAGAAGCAAGTAAGAGAAGTAGAGGAAAAACTGAGAGTGATGCAAGAAAATCATGAAAAACAAGTCAACGGCTTGCTAAAGGAGACCCAAAAAAATACTGAAGAAAATAACACCTTAAAAAATAGCCTAAACCAAATGGCAAAAGAGGTCCAAAAAAGCCAATGAGGAGAAGAATGCCCTAAAAAGCAAAATTGGCCACATGGAAAAGGAAGTTCAAAAGCTTACTGAAGAAAATTCTTCCTTAAAAATTAGAATAGAGCAATTGGAAGCTAGTGATTTTATGAGAAATCAAGACACTGTAAAACAAATCCAAAAGAATGAAAAATTAGAAAACAATGTGAAATATCTCATTGGAAAAACAACCGACCTGGAAAATAGATCCAGGAGACAGAATTTAAAAATTATTGGACTACCTGAAAGCCATGATCAAAAAAAAGAACCTAGACATCATCTTTCAAGAAATTATCAAGCAAAAGTGTCCTGATATTTTAGAACCAGAGGGCAAAATAGAAATTGAAAGAATCCACTGATCTCCTCCTGAAAGAGATCCCCAAAGGAAAACTTCTAGGAATATTGTAGCCAAATTCCAGAGTTCCCAGGTCAAGGAGAAAATATTACAAGCAGCCAGAAAGAAACAATTCAAGTATTGTGGAAACACAATCAGGATAACACAAGATTTAGCTGCTTCTATATTAAGGGACTGCAGGGCATGGAATATAATATTCCAGAGAGCAAAGGAGATAGGATTACAACCAAGAATCACCTACCCAGCAAAACTGAGTATAATCCTGCAGGGTTAAATGGTCATTCAGTGAAATAGAGGACTTTCAAGCATTCTTGATGAAAAGACCAGAGTTGAATAGAAAATTTGATTTTCAAATACAAGACTCGAGTGGAACATGAAGAGGTAAACAGGAAAGAGAAATCATAAGAGACTTATTAAGGTTGAACTGTTTACATTCCTGCATGGAAAGATGATATTTGTAACTAATGAGACCTTTGTCAGTATTAGGGTAGTTGGAGGGGAAAAAATTATATGTATGTATATATAGATAGAGATAGATAGATAGAGGGCACAGGGTGAGTTGAAAATGAAGGGGTCATATCTGGAGAATAAAATTAAGGGGTGAGAGAGGAATATACTAGGAGAAGGAGAAAGGGAGAGGTAGAATGGGGTAAATTATCCCACAAAAAAAAAACAGAAAAGAAAAGTGGAGGGGAAATGGGGGAAGGTGAGAGGGAATGAGTGAATCTTATTCTCATAGGATTTGACTTAAGGAGGGAATAACATACACACTCAATTGGGTGTGGAAATCTGTCTTACCCTACAGTGGAGGGGAAATGGGGGAAGGTGAGAGGGAATGAGTGAATCTTATTCTCATAGGATTTAACTTAAGGAGGCAATAACATACACACTCAATTGGGTGTGGAAATCTGTCTTACCCTACAGGAAAATAGGGTGGAAGGGGACAAGAGAGTAGGGGAATGATAGAGAGGAGGGCAGATTGGGAAAGGGAGTAATCAGAAGCAAATATTTCTGAGGAGGGACAGGGTCAAAAAATAGAATAGAATAAATGGGTGGGCAGGATAGGATTAAGGGAAATAGAGTTAGTTTTTCACAGCATGTCTACTATGGAAGTGTTTTGCATAATTGCACATATATAACCTATATTTAGTTGCTTGCCTTATCAATGAGGGTGGGAGGGGAGGGAGGAAGGGAGAAAATTTGGAACCCAAAGTTTTAAAAACACACGTTTAAAAAAAATGTTTTCACATGCAACTGAGAAATAAGAAATACAGGAAATGGGGTACAGAAATCCATCCTGCCCTACAGGAAAATTGAAGGGGAAGGGGATAAGAGAAGGGGGAGAGAGATAGAAGGGAAGGCAGACTAGGGGAAGGGGTATTTAGAATGCATGCCATCTTGGGGTGGGGGAGGGGCAAGATGGGGTGAAAATTTGGAACTCAAAATCTTGTGGAAGTAAATGTTGAAAACAAAAAATAAATAAATAAAAGAATTACTATTTTAAAAAAAGGAAAAAAAAAGAAACTGAAGCAGGATTTAAACCCAGGTCTTCCTGACTATAGGGCCAGCACTCTACCTACTAAGCCTTGCTGCATCCAAGAATCTGAGATCTGCATCCATGATGAATGGATGTACGTTAATGATTTCACCAATTCTTGGTGGACTAAAAGAATAAAAACACCTGAAGTTAGCACCACACCCCTCCTCACCTTGCTCCCATATTTTCAGCCTCTATAAATTCAGAAGGGAACTTTCACAAATTATTTAATCAGGGAGTTCTATGTTTCAAAAAGTAAAAATAAAAAAGGATAGCGCATAGAGGATCTGTGATTTCACTGATACAGCAAACTTTCATTTAAAGAAATTGCCTAACCCAATGCTAGTGAGCAAGTTCTCTACCACTTACAGTGTTAACTCATTTTTGTTTCTATAAATACCACTTCATTTCAATACTCTAAATTTATAGGAGGTGTCCAAATGCTGGCTGTGTTACAATGGACAAGTCATATACCCTTTCAGTGTCCCCAGGAAACTCTAAGACTATAAGTCATATATGAGTCACACATCTGCATTTGATGGAAAAGTTGGGGAAGTTTTCACTCCATTGTGTTCCCTATACTGAAGATATTACAGGCCCCGGTCGCAGCACACCTCCAATCAATGCCTCAGCTATTCAAAGTATGTGAGTATGCATAATTCTTTAAACATCAAGACTTTTAAATTGTATTTTATTTATTTTTGATAGAAAAATAGAGGATAGGGAGTAGACCTATGATTTTATTTGTATAAGGAAATCACAGATGAGGGAACTCTATCTACCAACTCAGGTCAGCACCTCTGCCAAGAATATTGAGGTGAAGTCACTCGTTTAGTGCCACACAGATGTTAAAGGTCGCAGGCAGGATTTGAAGCCA